CGGGATATATTGATTATTGTTAGTCGCTAAAAATACTAGAATTGGCGACAAAAAAAAATTTTAGTCGCCGTATATTGAGTTTTGGCTACTAAAATATTTAGTCGCCAAATGTAAAATTAAAAATTTATTTTTTATCTTTTGGCGACCAAAAGTTTAGTCGCCAAAACATATTTTCAGCGACCAAAAATTAGTTTAGTCGTCGTATATTACGTATTGGCTACTAAAATATTTTGTCGCCAAATGTAAAATTAAAAAAATATATGTATCTTTGGTGACCAAAAGTTTAGTCGCCAAAACATATTTTCAGCGACCAAAAATTAGTTTAGTTGCCAAAAAATAAAAAATTGGAGGGAGGCATTTCTAATTTAAATTTGAGGGATTTATAAAAGTAATTGGCGACTAAAGTTTTTAGTCGCTAATGGTGTAATATCAGTAATTGGCGACCATTAGGTATTTTAGTCGTCAATTGTATAAAATGGTATATATATATATATATATATATTTTGTACCAAACCAAACCCTAATATAATCTGCGCCTCTCTCTCTCTCTCTCTCTCTCTCTCTCTCTATTTTCGGCGTCCCTCTCCCTCCCCGTCTACGTTACTCCTCTCCCCACCCTCTCTCACTGCCGCACTTCTTAGCCTTCGACGAAAACCGGTGCCCCTCCTCCTCCTTCGCCATCGCCATCGCCATCGCCATCGCCATCGCCATCGCCATCGCCATCGCCATCGCCATCGCCATCGCCATCGCCATCGCCATCGCCATCGCCATCGCCATCGCCATCGCCATCGCCATCGCCATCGCCATCGCCATCGCCATCGCCATCGCCATCGCCATCGCCATCGCCATCGCCATCGCCATCGCCATCGCCATCGCCATCGCCATCGCCATCGCCATCGCCATCGCCATCGCCATCGCCATCGCCATCGCCATCGCCATCGCCATCGCCATCGCCATCGCCATCGCCATCGCCATCGCCATCGCCATCGCCATCGCCATCGCCATCGCCATCGCCATCGCCATCGCCATCGCCATCGCCATCGCCATCGCCATCGCCATCGCCATCGCCATCGCCATCGCCATCGCCATCGCCATCGCCATCGCCATCGCCATCGCCATCGCCATCGCCATCGCCATCGCCATCGCCATCGCCATCGCCATCGCCATCGCCATCGCCATCGCCATCGCCATCGCCATCGCCATCGCCATCGCCATCGCCATCGCCATCGCCATCGCCATCGCCATCGCCATCGCCATCGCCATCGCCATCGCCATCGCCATCGCCATCGCCATCGCCATCGCCATCGCCATCGCCATCGCCATCGCCATCGCCATCGCCATCGCCATCGCCATCGCCATCGCCATCGCCATCGCCATCGCCATCGCCCGGAGCACCTCTTCCTCCTCCGCCATCGCCATCGTCATCGTGAGTACCGCCGATCTTTTCACGCTGCCGCCTCCTCTTCTTCCGCCGATCTTCACAGATCCACCGCCGATCTTCACAGATTCATTTCTTCGTTTCTTTGAGATTTCACATCAATGGGTTTCTATGGTTTTGGAAGATTGAAGGTTTGGAGCTAATAAGAAAGTCTAAAAATCAATGGGTCTATTGCTGCTTCTTCTTCTTCTTTTATCAGTCTTTACTGCTTCTTCTGGTGAAAGTGAGCTCTTTTCTCTTTCTCCTATTTGCTTCTATTATTTCTTTATTCTTCAGGGTTTGATCCTATTCCATCTGGGTATCTCTCTCTGTACTCTCTTCTCATTGATAGATAGGTACACACACACAAATGTTTGGTTCTCTGTTGATTATCTCTGCCTTTTTCCCTTTCCCTTGTATGTTTTTTTTTATAAAAAAAAATTGGGTTTTTTTGTATCTTTGTTAAAGCCCTATGCTTGAAGATTTGAATGTAGATGTCAATGAGATTCGATTGAAAAATTTGTAAGAAATTTGGGTCTGATTACATTTGAGTTACTGATTTCATTTAATTCTAAATCTCCCTTTTACATGATTCCTGGTTTCCAAATATGCTTTGTCATTCTTACTACTTTGGACCTTTATTGAGTGCTTCTGGGATTGTAGAGTAAAGTTTAGAAGAAAGCAAGCTGGGCCATTTTCAAAGTGCATAAACAAAATTTATATATTGTTTGAAGTCATTGTCCTTGCCATAAACCCTGTTTACACTGATAGTGGGGGGAGAGAAAGAGTCTTATTTAATTTTGGGTGAATTACAGTTTGAACCTCTGACTTGAAGTTTTTTTTTTTGGGTCCTAGCAGTTTTGTTTTTTTAACTGATTGTGACCGAAGGACTATATTGAAACAAGAGTTTGAATATGGACCACCAAAGTAAAATTATAAAAGTTGGAGGTGAGAAGTGTAAGTGTATCTATATACATTTTTCTGATCATTTATGGAGAGAACCCAGTTTGAATATGTGTAGTTCTCCCCAAGTTTGAATATTTGCTTATTTTCATTTTTCTGATCATTTTTTTGTAAGTGTATCTATATACATGTATGCACATTTTATTTTGTTTATGGGCATGCACCCTGAACTTGTCTTAAGGCATGAAGAAAATTGTGCTTCACCGGCACAACTCATTTTTAGTCTTATTCTACACATTCATTTGAAAATAAGCCAACATGTTTTCCTTTCAATTGATGTCTTATCTACTTTTTTTCAATTGTCTCCCCTCTTTTTTTCAATTGATGTCTTATTTACTTTCTCTTTCATTTTTTTATTTATTTATTTTTTAGGGAAAATTACATACACAAAAAAAAAAAAACCACGGTACGAGAGAAGAGCAGGCTCCCAACTGTGCCCTTAGTGCAAGACCAGATACAAACGTCTCAAAGGTACTACTAACAAAACTCATCAGTCATACTGTTGTTGTTGTTGTTGCTTCACCAATATGATTAGCACAACTTACTACACAAACCAACACATCCATCAACTTACCAAAAAATATAATAATTAATGTTTTCTTGCTGTATGAAACTCGTCCCTTTGTTTTGACATTATGAAAGTTCCTTGACCTTAGCAATGTACTAATTGGAACATCCTAATTCTATTATAAATATATAAATAATAAAAAAAATTAAAATATATATAGGGTCCCATGTAAGAAGTGTTAGGTTTTTATTCTTGGCAATCTCGTTTGACAAAACTCCTTTTCGTTTTATTTGTTTTCGCACTTTTATTTCAGTGAGGCTATGAGTTTATTAGATGCAAATCCAACCCGAATCGAGCCTTGTAGAGAAGTTTGTGATGTTAATGCTTTCAAGATTGCCACTTCGCTGATTATGGCGGGGGTCGAGCTACCCGGTCAGCTCGCGCCCGAAGCAAAATGCAAAATTGCATTCAAAGTTGGCTATCCGCCCTTGCTCGCTTGAGCGAAGAAGTCCTCGCTCGAGCGAAGGATTGCGTCTATACAAAAAGCTGAAAGAGATCATTGTTCGCTCGAGCGAAGGTTTTGTGGCTCGAGCGAAGGCACTAATGGAAATCACACGAGTTAAGGTTCTCGCTCGAGCGAGAGAAGCTTCGCTCGAGCGAGCTTCAAAATCCGGATTTCTATAAGGAGTTGGTTTTCTATAAGTAGTTGGTTTTCTCCCAAAACTTTACTGACTCCTTCAGATCTTCTTTTTGGATATTACGGTTTATATCTGGCGATATTTTTTTAGTTTTCTTTGATGTTTTGATTGAGTATTCAACTCATGGTTTAAAGAGTGTACATCAAAGGATTGTTTGTTTAATTCTACACAAAAGAGAGAGTTGTTCTTCGGTGGATTCTGAAGAATACGAGCCTGAAACTTTGGTGGATTGTGGAGTGGGTCATCGTCAAGACAATTTCGAGGTGAAGACGGGTTGGAAGAGACACATAGGGGTTGGTTCAATTCGAACATGGATTCGCTAGGTAATTGAGAGTATACCTGTGTAATTCCTTTATATCTTCTTAGTGGATTGTTTTGTGGCTGTTGCCCGTGGTTTTTTCATGTAAAATCGTTGTGTCGATTTGTCTTAATTGTTTGATTAGGATTGCTATATACTGCTTAAAATTGTTATATAATCACAAATCAACATCTAGGGGATTTCTAGATTTTTCAAGGAGATTCCTATAATCACCATCAATGCCTCATAATGCACTCATGAGGTGATCTCATGGAGTAGTGTATGAGCTGTTTTTGTGAAGTCAACTATTGACACATAATATATGTTTATTCTATTGGTTTTTTATTGCTTTTTTACTTCGTTAATTATTTGTTGCTTTTATAGTTTTTTTTTCTCTATTTCTTTATTACCAAGGACAACATTTCAGTGTATATAAAAGTTTGTCATTTGGTTTAAAGGTTTGCCGTTTAAGTATGTATTTCTTGCGAGTTGGCTTAGTTTGAATGAGGTGTGGATTAGGCCAGGACTTAAGTACAGGTGTAGAACAAGTTAGTTTTGCCTGCTGTAGGGACACTTGCCCAATTCATATTTTTGATTGAAGAGATGAATAAAATCCTAGTTTGATCAGAATTTTCATGATACTCTTTGGGTTTTGCAATGTAACTAGTTGCTCTAAAAGCTTAACCTATTAGAAAATAAGCCCAACACATTTTTAAGCTCTCACACCCTCCCTTTATTTGTGAACCCCCTATCCAACATGAAGATACAAATTAACACAAGCTAAACTGACACACCGACAAACATATTATAAGGTACAAACAAATATGTGTACATAAATGCTCTCCAGTTTTTATGTGTGTACATATATTCTGAAGAAAAATGTCATGCATATTCCTTAGCTTAAATTTGGTCATTCTTAGTGCGGAACATTTGAGGAAAATCATAACTATAGGTTTATTTGAGCTGTAGAAGACCAAGTTCTTATTTTAGTTAGTCACTTTCACTTGAAAGTGGGTATTAATTTTTGGAATATTATTTTAGTGAATGTCATATTATAAAGTGGGTGAAAACTGTAATTTTATGTGAATCTCACTATTTTGTGAATTTTTTTAACAGCCTAAGACTGAAGAGGTTAAGAAGGAACTCACAACTACTAGTGCAGATTCTCAGGCCCAGAAATTGTTGTGCAGGAAGCTCCAGAATTGCAGAGTTGCTCTGTTTGGTATATGCTTGTTAGGAAATTTGTTTTGGCATGGAGTTTGGATTGTTGTTGATGTTATGTATGCAGCTACTAATGCTGATTCTCAGGCCTTCAGCTGCAATTTCGCCTTGCTGCTGTTTGTTTCGTTCTTCTGTCTTTTGTCCAGTTTTTCAATTTTGGAGTTCGGGTGTTTGATTGGCTCCTCGCCAAACTTGAGTTTATTGCAGGAAGCTTTGCCCACACCCCCCCTCCCAGGCGAGATTTGTTGTTGTTTTGTTGATTGTATATTGCTTTATCATCAATATATTTTCATTTTGTTGATAAAAAAAAAAGTTATTCTCTTTTTTGGATGGTTGTAAGTGAAATACATGTTGTAGAATGGGTGAAATAATATGTATGTATTGTTTTGTTTGTATACCTCTTACAGGTTGCGTGGGATACATACAGGTTGTGGAAAAATTAATTAAAATAAAAAAATATATAAAATGATATTTTTGGCTACTAAACAATTAGTAGCCAAAAATGAAGTTATATATTTTTAGTGACTAAATAGTTGGTAGCTAAAAAAAGAATTAAATAGAAACAAACCTTTTGGTGACTAAACATTTAGTAGCCATTTAAAAAAAAGACTTTAGGCGACTAATGATTTAGTAGCCAAAAAAAAAAATTTAAGTTTTGGCGACAAAAATTTTAGTAGCTGAAAATGTGATGTTAAATTTAATTGTAAGCTTTTGGCGACTAAAAAATTAATAGCCAATTTAGCCTTTTAGCGACTAAAGTTTTTTGTCGCCAATACTTTTTACTTTTGGCGACTACTTGTTTAGTCGCCAATTTAGGACTTTTGGCGACTAAATTTTTTTTAGTCGCCAATACCTTCGCCGACCGTCTTTCCGCGAGCAAGTTGGCGACCAAACTATTTAGTCGGGAAAACCTTTTGGCGACTAAAAATATGACTTTTGGCGACTAAAAATTTAGTCACCAAAAATGTAATTTCTTGTAGTGACTTCTTGAAATTTGTTTGAGAGGTTGATTTGAAAAGATGAACAGTAAAGCTGAACAATGTTTTTGTGCTAACAAGTTTAGCTAGTTGGGATTTTGAAATTCTCTATAATACTCTTTGTGCTCTCCTTCTTTTTTCTTTTTTTCTTTTTTATTTTTATTTTATTGATGCAAACTTTTATGTTGTATATTTGTTTTCATCAATAAAATTTCCTTTTTAACCAATCAAAAAAAAAACAAAAAAGTTTTGCTATAACTAAACTTTGTGTCAAATTTGACACGAGTTATAACAATTGATAAAATATTGCCTAATCATTGGAATTTAAAAAACTGATCTTCATGCTAAAAAATAGCTATAGCAGTCGAGATGGTCCAAAGAACTCAGTAAATGGGTGTTCGTATAATTGATTATTATTTACATAAAGACCCCTTAAATAATTGAGAAATATCATTTTGATCTCCTCAATTATAAAAACGTACAAATTGAACTCCTAAATTATTGAAAAATATCATTTTACCTTCTAAACTATAAAAGCATAGAAATGTTCTTAAATTATAAAAACGTACAAATTGGACCATTAATTTAGAGGTTTAAAGTGATACTTCTCAATAATTTAGAGAGTTTTTGTGTAAATAACCCTATAATTAACTAGTCTAGATGATCTGTCTCCTAATTGTTTCATACTTTTCTAATTATTGATCTTAATAATGTGATAATGTTAGAAAGATAGGATAAATGAACCATGCTACTGGATTACTATAACAATATGAGAAGAAACTAAAATAAATAAATCCGATCATTAACAAAATTAAATATGATTTTAATGATCAAATGACCTCTAATTTTTATATTTGTTACGTATGTGGCTTGAATGTTCGGCAATTGTTAGAGCTCTTTTGAGACCATGTGGGATTATTCCATACCATTTTGGTGCCCTGAAATTTTTAGCGTCTCTCTCGAGTAGACTATTTTTTATAAAAATTAAATTGATCAAAGATTGATAATTATTTATTTAAATCACATTTGGTTTATATATATATATATATATAATAAAAAAATAGGAAGTGTTAATGGAGGGTAAAAGACCAAAAAATATGTGAAACATATGGGTTTGCAACTCTTTGTATGATGGGGTGCAACTCAAAAGTTTTGAGAGTGCAACTCAAAATTGCACCATTCTATGTCCGTATAATTTTTTTTTATTAGTTTTATTGAGATGTAATTCACCCTAAAACAAAATTAACAATTTATTCTTAAAATCACATGATAAATATCATCCAATCATCTGACTATTAATATAAGATCAATCCAATTTTTCGCGTAATTGACCTTCTTGACAAGTACTAAACAGTTCAATTCAAATTACTTAAGTGGGCCAACAATTGACTGTACAATCTATTTAATATGTGAAACAAAGATTTGTAAGCATCTTCAACAAAGGGCTAGCAGTTCACAGGATTAGAAGTGAGATCAAATGTCATTAAAAGAAAGATCACTAACCTCGCCGCGAATTTACATGAGGAAGCTAAAGGTCTTATTTTAAATGAGATTTTTTTAATATTTTTTTAACACCGCTATAATTTTTATTTAAAATTTAGTTTTCTCTCTTTTTAAATGTAAAATTACTAACAATTAAATCTTAAATTTAAGTTTTACTAACATATCATTTTCACTAAATAATATGGCTTATTCATTTAATTTCTTCTGACATAATCTACCTATGTTCATACTACATAGCTTTAAAGTTGTCAGGGTCTGAGCAATTCATAATATTTTCTTATGATCCCTATCATTATTTTTTTTTCAAATATTGAAAAAAACTGAAGTATATAACCAATGACATGAAAAATTATCTTTAAAAACTTACAAATTGGACAAAAAGGAAAATATGCATTCATTAGAAACCCAAATATCTAACTCATAAGAGTATCTCTAACGCTTTATCAAATTTGAGTAATAATTTGATGAAAAATTTGATCTAATATGATGCACTCTAACGGTGAAGGGTAAGTTTTCATTAATCCGGCTAGTTGTTCGACCAGTCATTCTGCCGGTTGTCCTGTGAAATGTAAAATTCATCAAATCTTTTTACAAAATTCCTAATTCATCCCAAAACCCAATTGTCCGGAAGGTTGTCCGGTTGGTCATCTACCAACAGCCACGAGCAAAATTTGATGGAAGGATAAAAACTCCCTTAATTTGATGAAAAATATAACACTCCCTTCATTTGATATTAATCTGATGCTACAGTTGGAGTACTATTTTCATCAAATTTAAATTTGATAAAACATTTGATGAAAGATTGGAGATGGCCTAAAAAATTGGAAAGAAAATTCAAAATTTCATATAACAGAAGGATTAACGACATTTCATTACAAAATATGAAAATAGTACAAAAGGTTTTTGTTTTTCAATTGGGCCCAACTTCTTGGCGCTAGTTCGTTTGGTTCCCAGTTTGCAATCAAAGACATTCTTTACGACTTGTTTGGATGGTCATTTTACTTGAACTCAAAAATTATCTCAATTCGACCAACTTAAATTTTAAAGAGGGCTACTAATTAGCACCTATCTAAATTTTTTGGACCCCTATTTCTTTGAGCCCCCACCCTAAAACTTAAATTTCAATAAGATTTCTTTGAACACTCCACTTAATATCAAATTTACCCATATTCATAATATTATCACACCCAAGGCCACACCCACCTAATTCTTCAGACCCTCTCTCCTCCTTTTGATGACTGCCTATCATCAGTTGAAAAGAACGCCGACGATCATTGTATCAATAAACACCATTGCCTTAGTGAAAAACATTGTATCGACCGTCCATCATTAAAATTCCTATCAACTTCCAACGAAATGCGGAATTGACTCGGTGGTATCCCAAGAATATGATCAGAAAACTCGTTAGAAATTCCTATCTACCATTGCAGAAAACTCATCGGAAATTCCTCTTAGGTAAAACCCTCACGAAACACACAATCTAGTGTTGAAGATACAAAAATCTAACCGTTCAACACACCAATACTAGTTATCTGCATTATTATTAGAAACCCATATATTGACGTAAACGTTTGTGTTTAATACTGTGTTACCCAACATAATTTTAACAGTCGGCAAACTAGTACCAAACAGCTCATACAAAACAACAACGATTGAAAATGACCAAGAATATTAATGCAAGATGGACAAACTTACCAATTGAACGATCGCCTCATTAGAATTATTGTCATCGTCCTCCATTGCTCTACAAAGTGAAATAACTGATGAAGAGTAATACATTGGACTTGAAAAGAGCTTTCTAGTTCAAGGTTTCTGGTTCATGAGGGTTTATGATGGCGATGAAAAGGATACATTTAGGGTTTAAAATGGTTATGAAGAGTAACAGGTTTAGGGTTTATATTGGTTGGTTATGAAGAGTAACAGGTTTATGGTTTAGAAAGGTGGAATACGTATAGCTGGAGCTGGAGCTGGAGGTGGGGGTGTGGGTTGGTGTACAATATTATAGAGTATTAGCTCTTATTTGGTAGGTGTGTGTTCCATTAAATGATGTATTTTAATGTAATTTTACTTCAAGGTATAATTGTAATAAAAAAAAATTAGAAATTAGGGGGTCCAATGAAGTTAGGCAGGTGTAAATACCATAACTTATTTTAAAATTTTAACTCTTATTATATCCTAAGATGAATTTACTAATAAGGACAACACATTAAATATTAAAATATTTTTTTTTTCTCATGATACACCCTATCAATTATACATGTTCTATTTATTCAAACCTCTTCATCTTCTTCTCTAAGTTTCAATTATTTTCTCTTCTTCTTTTTCAAAAGGATTTATGTTTGAACCTTAACGTTGTACATATTGTGTTGTATTTGAAAGTAGTGGGGTTATAAAAATTTTGAGGTGGGAATGCATGAATTAAAAAGTGGGTGATTGTTTTAGTGATTCCTTTAATTAATTGGAGGAGTTGAAGGATAAACTAATAATGATGAAGATTGATAATCCTATGAGGGTGTTTATCACGCAAGAAAACTGAGGATCCGGGAGAGAACAAAAACAGAATGAGTCAAGTGGGTTACAACTTCACTTGCCATGTGTATTTATATACATCATGGTGGCTATTGGAACTGGTCACA